ATTCTAATTCCTTCCTTTCTTTCATTCCTAATCTCATTTGCTATCCAAATTCTGAACTCGATTTCTGACATCTCAGCCATCTGTTTATGGATGGGGTCTTCAATTGCATCTACCCCATTTTTCCTTGGGGGAGTTGATCTACTCTGGTTATTCAAGTTGCCAGAGCTTTCCCACCAATTCTGCCCCATGCTGAGTTTACCTTGTTTGGAGGCCTTATCAGAATCCTTCAGTTGGTGGCTTCTTCTGGTTGCCCAGAGAGACAGGCAGAGCGTGTCTGTTGTCTTCTCCCAGTTCTCGGGTGCTGGGACAACCGGGGCACACTGGAACGGTAGCACCTCCACAGGAGTGTGCGTAGCCGGATTAGACCTCGTTCGGCCTGCCGGGGCGACTGGGGGGGCAGGAGACTGGCAGCAGCCGGATCAGTCCTAGTTCAGCCCTGCCAGGGCAACCGGTGGAACAGGTTGCTAGCCACTGAACAGTGGCTATATCAGTTCTAGTTCAGCCCCCCTGGAGCAGCCAGGGGGTGGGGGAATGGCAGTGGTAGTGCAGGGCATGCAAGCAACCAGATCAATCCTAGTTCAGCCCCGCCAGAGTAGCTGGAGGGGGGACTGGAGGATTCCTTCACCGTCACCTGTTGGACGCCTGCGGCACTAGCAAGCCCATCTGTGCCCTCCCAGCGCTGGAGCCTGGAGCGAGGAACTCCTCCACCTCTGCCCATGGGACGCACATGGCTCTAGCAAACAGTTCTGGGCCTGCCCAGAGCGGTAGACTCCTCCACTGCCACCTGCAGGGTGCACATGGCTCTAGCAAGGAGTTCTAGGCCCACTCAGCACGGGTGCCTGGAGCGGGGAGCTCCTCCCTTGGCCCCTGTGGGGTGTGCGTGTCTCTAGCAAGCTGTTTTGGGTCTGCCTGGAATGGAGGACTCCTCTGCCACTGCCCACGGGATGTCTGTGGCACTAGGAAGCAGTTTTAGGCCTGCCCAGAGCAGGAGCCTGGGGCAGGGATCTCCTCTGTGGCCTGTGAGGTGTGCGACGCTAGCAAACAGTTCTGGGCCCACCCCAAGTGGGGGACTCCTCCGCCACCGCCCGTGGGGCGTGAGTGGCTCTAGCAAGTAGTTCTGTGCCTGCCTGAAGCAGGGGACTCCTCTGTGGCCACTGCTGCCCGTGGGAGGTATGCAGCTCTAGCAAGCAGTTCTGGGCCCACTCAAGGTTGGGGCCTCCATCACTGCCCCGTGGGTGCACGAGGCTTTAGCAAGTAGTTCTGTGGCTGCCTGGAGCAGGGAACTCCTCTGCAACCACTTGCCACCTGCTGGAGGTATGCAGCTCTAGCAAGCAGTTCTGGACCCACTCAGAGCCCTGGAGCGGCGATTTCCTCTGCCGCCTGTGGGGCGTACGGCTCTAGCATGCAGTTCTGGATCTGCCCTGAGCCCTGGAGTGGGGATCTCCTCTGTGCCCGTGGAGTGCATGGCTCTAACAAGCAGTCCTGAGCCCTCCCAGAGTGGAGGATTCCTACGCTGCTCCCTGCGGGGTGCGCAAGGCTCTAACAAGTAGTTCTGGGCCTGCCCGGAGCAGGGGACTCCTCTGTGGCCACTCCCAGCCTGCGGGAGGCCCACTTTGTACCTGTATTTTGTGTTCTTAAATGCTCTTCCTTGGATTTACAGCTTTCCGAACTTTTTTCTGGGCTCAGCTCCCCATCTTTGGCTTCATAGATTCTGATTCCAACCAGTTTTTCTTCCTTTGCTCAGGAGCCTCTGACCAGGGTTGCTATCAGTCAGCTATCTTCCCAGAATTGAAATTGCATATTCTTAATGATATTTTATTTTAAGAAATTGTCATTGACAATATCCATGGGCACTATTATCTTACTGGGGTGGGGGGAGGACCAAGTTCCCTGAAAGTCAGTAAATGGTGGGACAATCAGGCCCTAGGATACATGCTGCCTGGTTATAAAGATAAGGTTTTAATATTATGTTCTTTACCACTTACGTGATTTTGGAAAGTTTCTTAAAATGTTCTTTGAACTTAAGGTGCCCCAGTCCTAAAACAGAGATAAAAATAATTGAGTGCAGGCTCAGCTTTTGCCACATGGAAAAGCCAATAAAAAGGACTAGGTGCAGTGAAAGAAAGTGACTTTATTCCAGAGCTAGCAGGGGAGAAATGGCCAAGGTTCCGGCCTCAGAAAAACTAATTTGAAGTCTTGGGCTGAGGGTAGGGATTTAAAAGGGAATTTGGTATGAAAAATGCTGATCAGTGTGACTTATCTTGGTCTTAAATTATTGCTCTACCTGGTGAATGGGCTGGCATTATCTGGAAGGCTGTTTTCTTGAAGGAGGGTTTTTTTTTCTTTTGAGACAGAGTCTCATTATGTAGTCCTATTTGGAATGCCATGATGTCATTATAGCTCACAGCAACCTCAAACTCTTGGGCTGAAGTGATTCTCTTGCCTCAGCCTCCCGACTAGCTGGGACTATAGGCTTGCCCCACAATGCCTAGCTAATTTTTCTATTTTTTGTAGAGACAGGGTCTGTGTCTTGCTCAGGCTGGTCTCCAACTCCTGAGCTTAGGCGATCAACCTGCCATAGCCTCCCAGAGTGTTACTGCATGAGCTGGACCTATCACTGTCAGCTAACATGCAGAGACCTGGATAGATCCCCCAGATTTTACTTATCCGAAGGCTAGTGATTCTGGAGAACAGTGAGAGTAGCCTCTCCAAGACTGTTCTCTTCTTCCATTTCCAAAATCACGCTTTTTTTCTTTGAGACTGAGTCTTAAGCTGTTGCTGTGGGTAGAATGCCATGGCATCACAGCTCACAGCAACCTCAAAGTCTTGGTGTGATTCTCTTGCCTCCACCTCACAAGTAGCTCTGATTATAGGCACTGGCTACAACGCCCAGCTGTTTTTTTGTTGCAGTTGTCATTGCTGTTTAGATGGCCCCGGCTGGGTTTGAATCTGCTAGCCTTGGTGCATGTGGCCAGTGCTATAAGCACTGTGGTAAGGGTGCTGTGCCAAAAATCACAGTTTTTTATACATAATGTTTCACAGAAAAGACTAAACAACTCAGTGACAATCTGTTAACAACATTTCTAGTTCAAAAGTTAATTTCTTAAACTAGTCAAGATGGGCATCTTTAGGGTGGGAGCTAAATTTGCGAAACATTAAGAATGGAAGATGGGGTGAAGGTCAAGCAGGATCTAAACTGACCAGACCAGCTGTGTCATGTAGGCCCTCCATCTTATTTTCACTATTTGTGCTTTCAAGAGTGCTAGGATTACAGGTGTGAGCCATGCCTTGAAGGCTGTTTATCTATAGGTGAACTATGGCCTTGAGGTAATAATCTCTTGGTGGGGGTTTGGACTGTTTGTAGACTCAGTTTCTGGAACTTCTAATCAAGCACATAATTAAATAGGGGAAACTTTTGAATGCTTGGTAGAAAGAATGGAGGGTAAAGTCAGTTATTTCCTAATTAAGAACATAGTAAGAAATGGGCAGGAAAATTTCAAAATGGAGCCCTGAAAACCAGGGCAATAGTTATAACCTCAGTGTATGTTGATAAATTCTTCTGAACAAAAATGCCCCAAATAAATGCTTTTATATAGATAATATATATAGTTACCTTGTCTTAATGGTCAAATATTCACTAGTCTGAGGGCTATTCATTGGCTGTATGATTATTTACAATTTTTATCAATGTTTGCATGTTGAAGGAGTGACAGAGATACTTCTTTATGGAAAAAGTTGCTCTCTGAGTTCTTTTTCTTTGCATTGCCTCTTTTCTTTGTAATTTTCTTGCCTGATCACAGAACGATAGCTCTATATGCCCTCAAAAGCCTAACACTAAAGAAGAAAATATGACCAAAGGTTCTTTTCTTATCTGGAAAGTACTAGAAAGTGATCATAGCACATAAAAGCTATTAAATACACAGAGAGGGCCAGGCGCATTGGCTCACACCTGTAATCCTGGCCCTCTGGGAGGCTGAGGCACGTGGATTGGATGAGCTCAGGAGTTTGAGATCAGCCTGAGCAGGAGTGAGACCTCCTAAAAATAGAAAAACTAGCTGGGTGTTGTGGTGGGCACCTGTAGTCCCAGCTACTTGGAAGGCTGAGGCAAGAGAATCATTTGAGCTGAAGAGTTTGAGGTTGATGCGAGTTAGGATGTCATGGCACTCTAACGAGGGTACAGAGTGAGACTCTGTCAAAAAAAGCAGA